TAGCTTTACCTAACTATTCACTAACTACTTATTAAAGATTACCAGCTGCTGACTACCTTCACATTTACTGCATAGACATGACAGTGGTATTGATTTTCTCACCTGCAAGAAAGGAATAAGCATATTTCACAAAATGTCTAACTATTCCCTTAATGCTGATCATGCCGTATTGTGCTTTCAAATCTGCTAACAAAACAGGGAAAACTGTTAGCAAGATACAGATTTACTCCACTTCTTCATTAAACCACCAAATCACAAATGTAAAAACTTCAAAATGTTTAGATGACAGTTTGCCTGCGATTGTGACATCAATAATAGACTGTAAATGCTAAGGAGTGCTTGGTTTGCAGCACTAATAAGCAGTGGAAGCATTGCTGGACTTTGTAAGTACCCTGATTTCCCCTGAATATATCTGTAAGAGAATTAATTAGAGTTAGAAAATGAAATTTTACACTTGAACTGCTGCTCAAAAGGGTGCTGCATGCCCATGCACCAGGGACTGAAACTTCCTCTGGCTCTAAACTTCTGCAGCATGGCCTTTATGTCTATTCCATGCTGCGACTTCACCTCTGAGATCCATGAAGTCTTGTTCTGCAGCCACAAAATTTTATATCAGCCTGGAATCTCAGCGGTGAAACATTGTGCCAAAAGCTCCATTTCATGTATTACAGGCAGCCCTTCAGGGAATACTCCTGTGTGATTAATTTCCATTTCAAAGCTAAAAGCTCATGGAATGATGTCAGGGAGTGGGGGTTTGAAGTGGTGCACATTCAAATGGGAACAAAAATAAAATAAATAAAAACACAAAAAGGAGACAATATCACACGGTGGCACACAACAAAAACATGCACTTGAAAAACTTGAATGCTCACATACTGTGGGTACTCACTGTATGCACATAAGCCTCCTCTCTTTGCCCTTGCACATACACAAATGCATTCTTTCAAAGCAGCTCAGGGTCACAGTTTTGATCTCTTGGCTTGTTACCTCATTTGACTATCATATGAAAGCAGGGTTTCTGACTGTATATAACACACTGCTCGGTATTCTCTCCTCTTATCTTTATCATACCACCTACCCAATGCCGCCACCTGCCGCCACCTGCCCCCCCCCCCCCCNNACTTCCACCAACCACTCTAAATCCTGTAGGCTCTAATTGGCCCAGTGTCCTTCACAACAGAGAGCGGTGCTGAGAGCTGGACGACGCGTGCTAGAAGGCTAATAGAGACATCTCGAAATGCCAGGTCACTGACTGGGCCGCTAACTCTCCTCCCAGCCTTGTCATGCTGCTTACAGTTAACCTTTTCATTAGACGGCATTTGTCGACAACAGGGATTTTCTAGTCATACGTGGGGTCCGTCAAAGGAAGTACAATGGGGCAGGACATGAAAGGGTGTGTGAATGTGCGTGTGAATGTGCGTGATATGTGTATTTCAGTACAGACACGACAGCAGAAATGTCTATCTGAACAAATAATTAGTTTGAAAATTCTGTAACAAATAATTATTTTTTAACAGTTAGTATGATTTGGCAAGACAGTGGGTGGCCTTTATTGTGACAAAGGAGCTGTTCAAGAAGTGTTTGCTGCACAAAAATCCTTCAACTTGTTCATTTAGAGCTAATATAGATTTTTCTTCTCTTAAAAGAGTTGGTTTATGCACAAAACAACATATTTTCTAATTTAGCCCTAGTGTTATTCTAGTCACGCATGTAGTCTGGGATATCCATCTCTGAGATTTCTGGTTTCACTTTAATAGAATTTAATTGTAATGTATAAAAGGCATCAATTCTCGGTTAGGTTTAGAAAAAGATAATGGTTTGGGTTAAAATACAACCTCCAACCAATCAACTGTGTACTCCTCCCTCTTAGGCAAGGAAAACTTACTTGGAGCAACTGCATGGAGAGTGAGCAATGGCGTTTGTTTTTTGGGATTATGGGGCTGTCGGACAAATTGGCTTTTGGCACAATGGGACATTTTTCAGAATATCAGGGTTTCGGAATAATTGGCCTTTGGAACAATGGCATGGCACCACATTCACTGGGAACAGTTGTAACAATATTGGAACTGAACTTTCTACTAAAGCAAAAAAGAAAGTCCCTATGAGAACTGTTGTTAGTGAGCTCTGTAGACATCCTCAGTAACAAGGATATTTTGCTATTGTTATCATTCTAGAAAAATATATTGCTGATACATTTTTCAATGCTGTGAGCGCCACAACTACTGAGCTGGAAAAAGAAATCTCAGAGACTGACATCTCAAAACCTGGACAAATAAAACCCATTTGCATGGCTAGACAGCACTAAACTGGGATCAGTTTCTGATTATGTTGTTTCCATAGTTCCTTTCTCCACCTTATTTTCTGAATGCCCTGGTGATGAGTGACAGCAGTGCAAAAACCCATTCTTAAGGATCAAGCATTTCTTCTTCACGGCTAAAACTTAATAAAAGATTATTTGTTGCCTATATTTTTGTAACAACGTCTGGGAGACAGTGACCACACCACTGCACAAATATATGGCAGCTCAGTTACTTTATGTTAATTCTGAAGCAACACCTTTCCCACTCGGCTGTCTGTCAAGATACATATTCTGTTTATTTCATTCATTTAAAAAAAAAAATCTAATCCTCTTTTCTTTGGGAAGTCTCTTCTTCATCTGAAAATCTGATCATAATCAACCTGTCTGTGTGAATAAATGAATAATAGAAATGGTGCTTGTTGCTTGTATTTTTTTAACAGAGTGTTCAGCAACAGTAGCTATCCAGTTCTAACAGGAATGTCTCCATTGTTTCATACACATTGTGTATTAACAGACTAAGGAGTCCTCTTTTGAGGATTATGATTGATTATTCTAAGGAGGGGCTGAGCTCTCTACTCTTGCTTTGATTGACCTTCACTGCCTGAAGATCAGCTGATAATCTAGAAAATGAAATGTGGCTGAGGTACACTGGCAGTGTATCGTTCTGCTCTTTTCGTCGAAACTGTGACCTTTTCCAGATGGCCAATAATTAAGTGAAGATCAACTACTCTGTGAGTTTGTTTGGTAACAACTCACACGGTATGACCTGTCTCTCAGATAATCTATCAATCCACTTTCAATGTGATTCTGATGCTTCTATACAACCTACATAAACAAACAAGACCATCAGTGAGAAGATTGGCTATTTCTCTGTAGTTCATCTCAGGGCCGTAACGCCTCCCATCAGGTCAGATTTGGTGCGATTTCCCTCAAAATCGGACAAAAGGAGGCAGTAGAAACACTACAGCTTTTGTCCACAGAGGGTGCCAGAATCAACACAAAAAGTTCCATGTAGCTGCTTTATCTAGCTAGCACCACCTTTGGCTCTAATTTTGAATTTGTACAATACTTTTTTGATGAATTACTAGCACAACTAATGACATTCCCAGTAGCCTCAGCTGTATTTTGTGTTTAGTGTTGATTAACTACGTTAGCATTATAACATGCTAAACTAAGATAGTGCACATACTATACCCACTGAACATCAGCATGCTAGTATTGCTCTCGTGAGCATGTTAGCATGCTAATGTTAACTTCTGTGTCTAAGTACAGTCTCAGAGATCCAGCCTGGCTGTTCGGCTCTGGTGAATTCCATGAATTATCAAATAACGTGCTGAATGACGTGCTAAATGGAACAATAAATCCATCAATGTTGACAGTCAAAGGTGAAAGTTTTATCACAGACTAATACAATCAGCCATACTTATAAGCAAGAGTACACAATGTCTGTTGTAGTTTGTTTATGGTTTGTTTTAATTTAGTCAATAAAAAATATTCTGGATGAGTTCCATACGTCAGTGTTTTCAAACTAAAACCACACTTTGTCCTTCTCTTCTTCCTCTTTTTCCAAAAAAGACCTGAATGCAGCACGAGCCAAAACAAAGACCCACCACTATTGGAAAACATCAACTTGTTATTCAGCCAAATGCTGCATTCAAAGCTGTAATAACCTGAAGCTGTTTTATATGCAGTCTGGCTTCTCCTAAACATTTATTTTTTTCCACAACAAGCATCGCAGTTTCAATCAAAACTGAACACATCCAAGTCATCAAAAAAGACTAACTGCATGTGATGGAAAGGATTTATGTGTTTGTTTTATTTGAAATGTAATTCTACTTGTTGTTTACTTCAATAAACTGGAGATCATGTATTCTGTATACCACCTGAAACCTGAGAGAGAAGAGCAACATTTTCAAGATATAAACCTGTGTGGTTTTTACCATAAGTTTGAATGCATCATAACCTGAAGCAAGGAGAGCTTCTCTGTAAAAAAAAAAAAAAGCACCCTCCTACAAGCCAATTAGAGGGCACTGCTGGATGGTCAACCAGCTTCAGGCAGTCTGTGTGCCTGGCCGTCAGGTTTTCACCTGAATTTGGAGTAAACAGACCTCTGTTTTCTGTGATGAGTGTGAGCCAAAATATGGAGGTCACCCAAATGGAAACTGAGGCTAACATGGACATTCAATTGGAGTTTCCATCGGCTGTGCTCCTCTGCTATTACTGCCTCCATATTTCAGCGCAAAGTAATCGCTTTATCACTGATGGAGCAATGTCTGAACTGTGCATATATATTGTATATGATAAAGAATGCATAGCTATCTACATTATTAAACAGCCACATAAAGCATTCATGAATATAATTTAAGTGATAGTTTGGCAATGAAAAGGTCCTTTTATTGTTCTGTGTGTTGATGTGCGATCGCACAGTTGTGGTAACTGGGCTTAAATGGGTGTTTACCAGTTCAGCCTCAGGGTTCTTTGCTGCTTTTGAATAGATTGAAAGTCTCTCATAAATTTGTATAATGTCCAAGCTCTGTTGTATTATTAACAGGTATAGAAAATATTTTTTTCCTTCTTTTATTTTGTTTCCATTTTGTTTGTTAATTCTATCAAATATGGAGACCGGGTATGCAACAACTTTGTGTCTTAAATCCTAATCGTCATTAACAAATGAGCTTAGGTCTGATGTTGAAAGTCTTACTTGATTTCACTCTCCTGAACCCGCTCCTCATCCAGATCCTCAATGAACTTATCCCCCTTCATCCAGTAGATAAGTGGACTGACGTCCCCGCTGTATCCAAAGAAGGCTCTGCATGTCAGGTTGACAGGGGTTCCTGTGGGAGACAAGAGACAGGATAGTAGTATATCACTGCATCTGCAATGAGATCAACAATTCATCTTTTACACAACAGGCAGTGTGCAGAGTATCTGGACTCTCCTAATCGTGATCAGCAACATAAAAAACGCAGCAGGGGGAACCATGAAACAATCATGGCCGATTAACAATGCCAACATCAAAGCCATTCTTTATGTTGCATTAAAGGGATTCTAAAGGCCAACACACACCAGCAGCGTATGATGCACCCATTGTTTTGTTAGCCTACACAGTAGGGTCATCTTGACCCGTGATGATGTGCGTTAATGCATTAAGATACAGTGTTGTTGTATTTCTGAGAGTCAACGCCTGGGAAAACCAGCAATTTTCTCACATTGGCTAGCTACTGTCTATATGCTATACCTTGACTACTAATGTCTGTATCAGTCGTTGAACGTGTCCTACAAGCAATCGACTGACGTCTATTAAATGACACAATGCTCTGAGACATGGCTGCTGAGTGTTGCACTTACATCAGATTTATTGTTGATTGAATGTTGCCTTAAGGTTTTTGCACTTCAATCATAATTCGCCATCTTAAACATGGTAAGAAAACTAAATTTACACAACAAACGGCACTTCTTTCCACACATTATTCCAGAAGCGTCTGAACAGCATCTATTGGACGACAGGTCTTGGTTGAAACTGGCCTACACAAGATCAAAATATCTGTACTTTTCCACTGTGCCCTGAGGTGGTGGATATCTGGTCATATCTGATACTGCATCACTCAGTACTAGCCCTGACTGCATTTTTTACCCTTCAAAACCTTTATAACAGCCTCCTTGATTCCACCAATTCCTAAAACTGTCTCTCACTCTCCAGAGGTATCATCTTAAACCATCCCAGACCCTTTTTCAATTCCCTGACGGCCTCTTAAACTTTAAAACACTCTCTTGAACCCTCTTTCACTGCAACTTCACAGTACTGCTGTACCTTCACAAAAGCTCTTATGCTCTTCAGCGGCCCCCTTCTCTACTTTTAAATTTCAATCACTGTATTCTGCAGGAAGTACTTTGGAAATTTTTAAACACAAGTGTGTGGCACAGCTTTTAAGGACAGTGATTTGCACTATTAATGAATTAAAATCCCCTATGTAAAACCCTCAATTCACACAGATTTCTCCCTTTTCCATAAACACAACGCAGGAGATCAAATTGCACATTATCAACTCAATTGTACTTGTGTACCTCTTCTAGTATTTTTGTGACAATGAAGGGGTGTGGTTTGCTCTTGTGGGTCCATTGAACTATTGAACTAGATAGTGATTGAGTCACCCTTCGTTCCACAAACTACACAGATGCTATACACATAGCTTTTAGTGTGTGGGATAAGAAAATAAGGAGGGCAATGCTTCAGTGCAGTTGTTTGATTGTACCCTGATTTAATGTTAGCAAGTCCACTTTTTTTCCAATGCCGTTCAAGAGCTGTGACAAAGTGCAAGTACAGTAGGGTGAACATATCATATTGATGAGGTTGATTCTTTTAGATGCCACAGACACAATTAAAAATAAAAGATGAGTGAGAGACAAAAAAAAAAAACTCTCATGTCAAGTGAATACAAGTTTTAAAGTGCAAAGTGGGGCACTTTCATATAACCTCCCATTAGAAATAGATGGAGATAAAATTATACCAGATACAAGAATGCATGTAAAGAAGCTGAACTTTTAAAGCTGCATTAATGGGGGTTTTCAGGGGCAGCGGAACAAGCCCCTTATGAAGGGAATGTGTTAGCAAACAGTTGACTGATAATACATCCAGTAGACACAGAGCAATATTAATATTCATTTGGTCCAATATTCACTCCTTTTAGCAACGTCCGAGGGAAATAAGTTGTTCTTTAAATAAATGCTACACTATGTTCACTGGCTAGTCACTAACGTCTGCCATTTGGTCCTGGGTGTGTTGCGTATAGCCGTATTAGTCGTTTTTTTTTGCTGAAAACAGCTGACTGCTGTGGCTGGAAAACTGAACCAAAACGTTACAAAAGTTACAGGCTGTAAAACCAAAACAATGAGCTGAAAGGTTCTAAAAACATTTCTAAAATAAATTCATCACTACGAGCAAACCCTTTCATGTTACATGTAGTAATTTGATCCATTGCTAATGTAAAATTATTGATTAGTGCAGCTTTAAAGTTTAAATAAAATCCCCAAATCTTGTCAGCACAGGTAATTTTCCGTTGTCAGAAATGTTTACTTTAGTGTCTTTGGGAGCATTTATAAAGTATTTGCTAAAGTTGAGGCAGTTGAAACAAAAGCACCGACAGAAATTCCTGTTAGCAAATGCAAGAATTGAAGAGGACTGATAAAATGGAAGAGAAAGAGAAGAATCAGCTATCAAGACAGTTAAGGCAATTTTCTGTACTAGCAGGCAGTGTGATGCACTGATAGGCTTCCTGGGATGGCGAGAACCATGAGAACAGAGGGGTAAAAACACATATCAACAGACAAACCCCCTGCCTTCACATCAGCAGGAGTTCTCCTCTTTGCTCGGCTCATTTTTAACACACATCCTATGTGACTGGAGACAGATAAAACCCTTTTAAACCCGTTTTCGCTCTCTGTCGTGAATTAGAGACCTCTCATTCTTATCACACACATGCTGCAGCCGACGGCACAACCATGAGTGTGTGGCCTGTGCCGCTACAGGCTCACCATGGGTATTAAAAAAAAAAGAACCACATGATCAAAGCCTGGGAATGACTCTGATCCATAAAAAAAAGCAGCCGATGATCAAGTAGGCTCCGCCAATTGTGCGTCAAGGAAGTCAAAAAGGTGATTCAGCATCTCTTCATTAGCACTCCTTGCTCATTGGCCCTGTGGCGAGGACTCAGAAGTCTGTGAGATGGGAGATAACTGTGGCGTATAATTGGGTACTTGCTAGTTCAAAGATAATAGGGATTTTATTTTACCAAGGCCTGCTCTAATTTGGCCCTCTAGTGCAAGTCTAGCGAGCTTAGATGATAGCTAAAACGTTAACAGGGAAAATCCGGTTTGGAGATTCAAAAAAAAGGCCCCGAGTTGGACGGTTTTGCATTTCCTCTCACGGCTGAACAAAAATATTGTGCACATCTGAGAGACAAGGGCTGTGTGTGTGTGTGTGTGTGTTTATGTGTGTGAGGGAGTAAGAGAGAAAGTGTTTTGGGGATGCTGGGATCTGTCTTGGACCACACACACACACACACACACACACTCACACATATACTCACACATTGCTATACTTCCTGGCTCCACCAGGGGTCTCTGTGGTGCTACAAAGCAGGAGGGCCGGTGTGCAGGAGGAGCACATAAAACAACAACAACAAAAAAAAAAAATACTAAAAACAAAACACACCATTTTGACAGGTGCAGACAACAGTAAAAGGAAACACGGATCCTTTTGTGTGCCACCTTTGATGTCAAGAGGCTTCACCCATGGATCCAAACAGCATGTTGTGTTGTAGCATTGACAGCTCCACTGCTGTGCTGACAACAGCCGCGGTGTCACTCTCCAAGACTTATTCCAAGGGGCTCTTCATGCATATGTCTGCATGTTCTTCCCTTAACGATGGCGTGTTAATTTGTGCCGGCTTTACTGTGAGCAGCTAAGCCTGCACGGGCAGACGCTGTGTGTGCTCAGTTTGGGAAATGCACCAACAGCCGTGCAGGGATTTAAGTGCAGAGATTCTAACATTCAAATCCCAACCTCTGGTCTTGGTCAGGGGGGTAAAGTGAGTCTTAATGCGATTGTCTCCTCTCTCTTATCTCCCTCCGCCTCTAGAGCATCTCTCTCAGTAGCTGTGGCTGCAGGACGGAGACGTCAGCAAAGATTCCTGTGGCTAAGCAGACAGACTGGAAGCTATGAAATCATGAAACACCAGGGTGGAGAGGAAAAAACAGGGAAAGAGACATGGAGAAGGAGAGAGAGAGGGCAGGCAAGTGTGCATTTCTGTGAAGTATGGGCTAGCATGAGAGACAGAGGGCATATGTGCATGTCAGTGTGGATGTGAGTGAGAAAAAACAAGAGATAGACAGAGGAATCACACACATGGGAGAGAACAAACCACACTTCGTGGAGAACTGAAAGACTTACCACACAGAGTGAATAGAGCAACGTATCACCCTTGTGCACTAAAGATTACATAGATTACCGATCAGTACATCCTTATGCAGTGCGTGCACCATCCATGTCGAGTTAATCTACCAGCATTTCCCATTCAGATCCAGAGTAGGGAAGCCTTTCTTTTCTCTTTTTTTTGTTGCTTTTAACAGCCTTGAATAAATTAAGCCCTGCAGCTAGCAGGAATAATACTTCAGAGGGAAGAGACTAAGCTTTTCAGAGTTTTTTTTTGGAAAGGGCATTTGCAATCGTAACAGCAATGAGGACACAAATAGCTTTCTGTTTAATGTTTTTGGTGAGATGGGAAGCAATGGAGCTGGCAATTAATGACAAATAATGCGACACAAGAACAGCACACTTTTCAAATTATCGGTACTCTGCAAGCAAGTTTGAGATTTCTGCAAGTTGGCTTTTACACTATATTGTTATTAATGGATGCCGATGACTGCCTGGAAGATTGTTTAAGATGAACACATACAAATCTAAAAACACTGTTAAGAGTTAATTCTTGCAGCTGACAAACACAATCTCACCACTACCTCCATTTAGTAGCTTTCCATCATATCAAATGAGAAGAATTTTAAGTGCTCAGAAAAATGGAAATTTGAATCTACAATTCCATGACAACCGGGCAAAACCCATTTGCTGGGAAAGATTGCGTGAAAGGATCAAAAGCTCCAGAACAACTAAATGGACTTATGCTGATGCTTTTTCTGTCAAATAAAAAAAACTACTTTAACATATGGTTGACAGTAATGTTATGGTATGTGTGCTTGATTTAAAGGGAATGGGTTAAAACACAGGTATAGTCCATGGCTATGTAACTATTTATGAGCTGTGCAGCATTAAAAATCCAAT